CGTCTAGTCTGTATGCAGGGGTGGGGATATCGGCTGGTATCTACTGTATGTCTAGCCTGTATGCAGGTGTGGGGATACCAGCTGGTATCTACTGTATGTCTAGCCTGTATGCAGGTGTGGGGATATCGGCTGGTATCTACTGTACGTCGAGTCTGTATGCAGGTGTGAGGATATCGGCTGGTATCTACTGTATGTCTAGCCTGTATGCAGGTGTTTGGATATTGGCTGGTATCTACTGTACGTCGAGTCTGTATGCAGGTGTGGGGATATCGTCTGGTATCTATTGTACGTCGAGTCTGTATGCAGGTGTGGGGATATCGGCTGGTATCTACTATACGTCTAGTCTGTATGCAGGTGTGGGGATATCAGCTGGTATCTACTGTATGTCTAGCCTGTATGCAGGGGAGGGGATATCGGCTGGTATCTACTGTATGTCTAGTCTGTATGCAGGTGTGGGGATATCGGCTGGTATCTACTGTATGTCTAGCCTGTATGCAGGTGTGAGGATATCGGCTGGTATCTACTGTATGTTTAGTCTGTATGCAAGGGTGGGGATATTAGCTGGTGTCTACTGTTTGTCTCGTCTGTATGCAGGGGTGGGGATTTCGGATGGTATATAGGGTGCGTCTTGCTTGTATGCAAGGGAGGGGATATCGGCTGGTATCTACAGTTTGTCTCGCCTGTATGCAGGGGTGGGGATTTCGGCTGATGTCTATTGTACGTCTCGCCTGTATGCAGGGGTGGGGATTTCGACTGGTATCTACTGTACATCCCGCCTGTATGAAGGGGTGGGGATATCGGCTGAAGTCTACTGTACATCCCGCCTGTATGCAGGGGTTGTGATATCGGCTGATGTCTACTGTACATCCCGCCTGTATGAAGGGGTGGGGATATCGGCTGATGTCTACTGTACATCCCGCCTGTATGCAGGGGTTGGGATATCGGCTGATGTCTACTGTACGTCTAGTCTGTATTCAGGAGGATATCGGCATGTATCTCATGTAAGACATAGATAAGACGTGAAATTCACGTAAATTCGCTACAGTATGGCTCATTTGATCGGACAGCCGATAACCAAACGACCATTTCACTCAATCCACTAACGCCACGAGGTCAAGGCTAATAGCTCACATGTTTATAACGTGAACACACAGTTCGCGGAGCGAGTTAAAAGGCAGCCAACACACCGTGGATAGTTGACAATGCGCTTTGTCCACAAATGTCATGTATTTAAATACTCTAAATAGGTATGCCCTCAATACAATAAATAAACCCGTTTTATGTTATACTTTATGTACTACAGTCTATAGTCACGATGACGAAATGATTTGAATGTAGAGTTGATATACATACACAGAAGGCGGTGGCGCTAATACTAAGATTTAGCAACATACGTACTATCCATAACAATATACTAGTATTCAAACTGCCATCGCAACATGGAAATCATAGTATTTCATAATATGTAATTGTTTGACTTTTAATAAATAAAAACAAATTACGTAACTAATAAAATGAATGAATGAATAAACGAATAAATGAATGAATGAATGATATATCGTTTTTATCAATTAAACCTTGCGTATTTCATTATGGAGGGCGGAGGATTCTCAATTCAAATTAATGCCAGTGAATCACCTCAAATCGGACAACTGAAAGTGAGTAGTGATCGACCGGTTATTAGGGATAATTGATAGCGATATTGATTGTATTTTTCAGAATTACAGACAGTGATTAGTCATCAGTGTACAACCAGTAATAATAATTCGAAGGGAGTACTTGTCAAATGAAAAAACATATATAAGCATGGTTTGCTTAGAAACACAATTGGACATCCACAAGTAGAGTCCAAATAAGCAATCTTCTCTTTATCCAGATCCTGGCTAGTAACGTTGTCGCCATTGATCTTGTAAACAGTTCTTTGAATATAACAAAATAAACCCAGCCATGTTTGGTGAAGCTGTTAGGCAATCTCCGTACAATAAATAATATTCAAATCACCAGGTTAGTAAGACCGAAGGCTGAAACACAAATCACAGTAAAATATAAATATGTATGAGGCGTTGTCAATGACAACTGTATTACTCCTGAACTATACATTCAAACATTTTTTGTTGACATGCTCTACCGAAAAATAGATTGTTTGGACATAGAAAATGACTCAATAACAAAACCAAATGTTAGTTGGGGTTTAATTCAAGCAAAAGCAATTTGAAAGCAAATAACTAATATGACAATATCTGAACACTTGTTTTAATAATCTGTGATTTTATTTAGTTGAATTATAATTATAATTATAA